TAAAATCATCAAAATATTCAATTTCGGCGAGTACCGTTATATGGGGACTATACCAAAACGTGGACGGATATATATCATTTTCAATACCAACCATCCTAGACACAATACAAATTTTTCTGCTAAATTTTGACGCTGTACGTCAAATAATGGGGCTGTATCTTGATTTCAACTGACAGATAGACAGACGGACGGGCATCGTTAATTCGACTTCGAATTTTGTGCTAATTATGAATATATATACTCTATGGGGTCTTCAACGAATATTTAGGGATGTTACAAACGAAATGATAAAGTTAATATACCCTCCTTTCCAAGGTGGAGGGTATGATAACGTGCAACCTTTGGAACATGTATTACTTCATTATTTTTTAATATTATCGTCTAATTTTTGAGTAATTTTATTAAAATTCCAACTTAATTCATGTATTTTCCTTTACAATGCTATTAATTTATTAAAACATTTTCTAGTACTAAAATTGTACTCAGTAACGCCGACGGATGCGAAAACGCACCACCCCTGCACGAGCAAGGGGTAGAGATAGGGGGCTGAATTTTTGTGCGCGGAATATGGCATCCTCCCCTAAGTTTCAACATTTTTCTCCCACAAACAAGGAAGCCGGCGTTAATGGGTTAGGCACACGTACACAAATAACACACAATTATGACGACGACATGGTTCGATGTCATCGTCGACACCATGCATTTATGGAGAACACCAAATATTCGAGTCAGCCATGCCACGATCGAACCTTAGACAATGACACACATGAATCAAAATGGGGGATGTTGTTGGTTGTCATTGCCGACAAAGTCAGTGTGAAAAAAGCATAATTCATACAATTCGTCTTGTGCTGGTCTTTACTAAGAGAAATTATCATAAGTAGAACTTAAGAATTATTTTAAATAAATAAAACAGTGTAGTAACAATAGTCAAACGGTGCGTATATTATTCCGCGTACATCTGGTCCATCGAGCATCAACCTAAAAAATAATAAAAGAACCAACAAAATAAATGAAACATATAATAATCTAGGCAAAACTGAAACTATTATTGAGAATCAAAGAGACATAGTCGACATTCTGGTGAAAATTAAGCAGCAGCAGAAAGATACAATCCGCATGTCCATAATGGAAAGAACTGCTAGAGGAAAATGGGATATTTTCCTAAAAAATCACGAGATTTTGATATCGAATCCTTCCAAATATTATTATTACGAAAAGGATATATACGGCTACACCTGAGAAGTGATGCGGGCAATTAATAATTAATTAACGAAATTCAAACCGCAGAATTAAGATCCCAAAAAATTGCTATTGGAAGAATTAACAGAAGCTGAAGAAACTGGATCAGAGAATAAAATAGTGGAGGTAGATAACAAAGATGATAAAGGAATTTCTCTAGTATGCAGAGTCAAAAAGAGATTTCGGCGAAAGAAACGGCGGTGATGACGAGAAAAAACGACGGGGGGCTTCAAATCTGGGCAAAATGGCGTCAGACAAAAGGGATGTGACTGTGGGGTCATACTCCCATGAGGACGATTCGTTTGAAAGCTCGGCATCGACCAAGACCGAGTTAGAGGCTAGAGGGATCATACGAGATATGGAATATACCATGATAATGATGGATAGACTATGGAGGAGGTAGAGAACGCATTTAACTTAATCGAAAAAATTGTGACGACTGCGAAAAGATCCAGAAATTCATGAACAATGGAGACGACTGTTAATGAAGAAGTCCAAAAGGTTAGCAGCGAGCAGTGAAGCTCAGTCAAAAATAGCAGAAAGGGTGGAGCAGCCGTACAGCATCATCAATAAAAGGGAAATTGGAGTTCCCACATTCAGTGGCGATATAAGTGAATGAGAACCGTTTCACGATCTTTTCAAGAGCCTAGTGCACGATGCACCGTACTACACCAACGTGGAAAAATGCATAAGCTAAAGGCGGCGGTAAAAGGAGAGGCGAGTCATATAATACAACATCTAAGGACGCAGAATAAAACTTATGAAGAGGCGCTACAGTTGTTGAAAGAAACATACGAGAATCGGAAGGTGCTATTAAATAAGATGGTGACATTTTGGATCAGCCAACAAGGGATAGTGAGTCCACCAAGAGCGTGAAGCAGATGCTGGACACAACAAAGAATAGCATTCAAGGCCTTAAATCCATCAACCGTATAGGAAAACACCAAAATATTTTTCGCAAGGGTCATTTTAAGGAAATTTGACAGAAATGGATTAAGGCTGTACAAACAGCAAGTAAGAAAGCCAAGAGAAATATATAAATAAAAAATTTTGGAACAACAATATTTGACGTTGTCTTTTACGGCAGGCGAATCTTTTACGGCAAACAATGAAATAAAATTCGAAAAAAATGTATAACAATGTAATGGATTAAGACACAAAATGCTAAAATGCAGAAAATGTTTATCCATGACATGAAATGATGGAAAACGAATATGCTACTTCGGTCTGAGTCATAGAATAGATAACAAATGTTTCAGCAACAGACGATGTGATACGTGCAATGAAAGACATAATTCGCTACTACACGTAAACGTGTAGAAAGACAGATCATTAGTGCCCAGCCAGAGTCATTTGATATCAATACAGAAGATTGGAGCAACTGTTCATTAGCTGATCCCTTGTTTAATAAGTCTGACAGAGTGTATGTAATCATCGGCGGCAATCTGTATTCTGAGATCATGGAAGAAGGCCAAAGAAAAAACAAAGAACCCTCTGCAAAAAACCCAAACTTGGTTGGATTTTGTCTGGAAAATCCCGAATATATCATACAACTGTGAAAAAGGTTTTGGGAGCTAGAGGAAGTGGAAAGAGCAGCGGAGATGTCAGTTGAAGATAACTGGTGTATGTATGAGGAATCACCCTTGGTAGAAGATGATGGCAAAATAGTGGTGAAATTACCGCTGAAAACGGACAGGTCACTACTTTCAATGGAGAAGAAACTACGCCGTAATCCTGAACTGCGGGACTTCTACAGAAAATTTATGAAGGAATACGAGGAATTGGGTAATATGGAAAAGGTGCCAGCAGATGCTGAGGAAAGATTTTACCTGTCCCACCAATCTGTAATACACGAAGGACATTATGTGTACAGGGCCCAAACAGCAAAGAGATATATTAGATATCATCAAATCTTAAATTTCGTGTCAGAAAAAGGAAACAATGAGGTGCTGAAAATTGAGGATGACGAGTCTATAAAAACGTTAGCCGTTTTATGGGTTTCAGTCAGAGATGAATTCAAATTTGAAATGAAGTTCTAGGAAATGTCGGAATGGCTGACACCAGTGACATTTATAGCAAAATTGCTGATGCAGAAGTTATGCTGGGATGAAACAATTCCAGCAGAGATAGCAGCAGAATGGAAGGAGTTCTTCAACGCGATTCCAACTCTGAATGCGCTATGGATGCCACGATGGTTGTCAACAGCAAGAAATGAGTTCTTTAAACTGAACTGTTTCTCGGATGCGTCGGAAAAAGCTTATGCGGCTGTGGTATATGTTAAGTGCAATGGTAACGAACATTTACTGACATCAAAAGCGAAGGTGAATCCAATTAAGAACAGAAAAACTTTGCCGAAGTTGGAGCTTTGTGCATATATTGACATATCTGTTAAAACGGTTTGTATGTAACATGCGACATAACTTTACAATTAATGCATGGGGCGACTATACAATAGTTTTGAGTTGGATAAATAACAGAACTCCAATAGATTCATCCGAAACAAGGTGGATGAAATTAGCGAACAATGGAGCTATGTACCAACTAAAGAAAATCCAGCCGATCTTGGCTCTAGACGAGTATTATCTATAGAAGGAGACAGTATTTGCTGGAGGGTCCTACATGGCTCCAAAAAACTTCGGAGAAATGGCCGTCAATTTTACAACAAGAGCGACAAGTATTAGTAAATACAGCTGAGAATAATATAATACATTTTTGGACGCAATAACGGTCTAAGCTAAGGAGAGTTGTTGCCTACGTTTTGCGATTTGTTGAAGGAAACCAAATTCGTTAACACTAACAGTTGTAGAATTGGAGAAGGCCGAAAAGGCAATAATTCAACGCCCAAAGAACGATGAGCACTGAAAGACGAGGAGTTAGTAAGCAGAAACAGCGGAATTGCAAGTGTATATCCGTTTCTTGATAAAGACGGCATTATAAGAGTTGGAGGTCGGCTACATGATACAAATATGCAATTTAACCAGCGACAAAGATCGCACCTGGCGGAGATATTAGTGCCTGTTAGCATACATCAACACTCCATGGAGGTAACAGGAATAAAAAAGGAGTAATATAACGGGATGTAATCTTTACTCAGACTGATAAGCAAGTGTAGCATGTTTGCTTGCCACAAGTGAGATAGCTATGCATGTTTTATGAACTTCCTAAGATTTATGGCGGCATGGTGCACAGGCATGTGTACATTTGTATCTCTATATTTCTCTCTCTCTCTTACACTTTATGCTAGACTAGGTTAAGGAAAATTATCATAAGTAGAACTTAAGAACTATTTTATATGAATAAAGCAATGTAGTAAAAATAGTCAAACAGTGCGTATATTATTCCGCGTACAGGTATAATGATAATTTTAGACATATTTTTTAATGGTTAATCTAAGATTAGGTTTTTGTGTGTGAACTTGGCCATAGGTTCCTACCTTTCTGAAAATAGGTCAATGTAGGTTCCCGTTTTGGATAAACCCCCAGAAATATACCTCCAGATATTAGAAACATTGATGGTTGTACCCAAAATTTCGAACGGATTGTGAAAAATGTCATATTTATTCCCTAATTTTAAATGTGGGTTGGTTACTGGTTGTATTGCTTGACTAAAGCCAGTAACCAAATTATTAAGTTAATTTTTGAAGTGAATTATTAAACAAATTTTAATTTTCGTTATCGTTAAAAAAAAATTGAGAAAAATGCATATTGTAATATCGCACACACTTTGATCATATACGTTAAAATACATATAAACCTTACCTTTTTTAAAAATCGTGTCACTTAACCCAAAAAAAATCAATGTTATTATGAGGAATCGGCATATTTGATTCTGGACTCTTCGATTTTTATTGTGTTGAGTATTCATGGCGACACCATGTATATTCGTCGATTCTGATCTGTAACATAAAATAAATAAATTATCATTATTATTTATTTTGTTATTGTCAAAGATTTATTCAGATGATTTTTTAATTTTATATAACTCTCTATTAAAGAGAGCAAAGTTTTCCATATATTTGCTGATCGCTATAAATATGATGATTTCATCCCGGCGAAAGGAACGATTATTTGGCTTTTTAGCTTTTAACGACTTTGATGAAAAGCACGCTACATAAGTGTCGAGCATTCATAACTGAATGAGAATCAAACTTACTTGTCTTTTCCAAAAATCATTATAACGAAATATTTCAAAGACTACCACCACATTTTCAATTAAGAACTCACCGAGTTCTGCAAATTGAAGAAACATTTTGGGATAGGCTTCTGGTGGTCATTGGAAATGCTTTATTTATGAATTGAATATGACGAAGCTCGAAAGCTACATACAAAAATGTTGCATATCCAATACAAAATTACCAAAAAGAAATTGTAAAATGAAACTCAATCTTCGTCATAACAAACGAAACAATCAACAATTAAGTTGCAAAGCAAAACAAAATTTTGCATTTTGACCATTCATAAGAAATGATGATATAACTTCTAATAACAATTTTAAAACCCGTAAACTTTGTCTTTTGATATTGGTATCGGTTCCGAAAAAGTGAACGGTCATTGCAACTTAATTGTTTTCTCTTAAAAGAAATAGAAAATCAATCAATCAAAAAAAAAAGGTGACAGGTTGCATCCTTTTTTCAGGCTCAAAGTCTTCAACTAAAAGAAAAATTCTAGAGTACTTTATTGAATGCACCGTAAGGAGATATAACGCAGCGGCATTAATTTTGAAATCTGTAGAATAAAATATTTTATTACTGATTAATAATTTTTTGTTTCCTTCCTGCTAACACCGCGCAATACTTCGATTTATCAATCAACTCCCGAAGATTGCATTAGCCTAAATTCTATACATCTATGTCTAATAGCAGCTCAATGAATCCTTAAAATTTATAAAATTATATTTCCATTAGAACTCTTCTGAACTATAAAAAACGAATTTTCGTAAATTAAATTCACTACTGTCTTCTGCAGATTGGGTCTCTCTATGAACTTGCAAAAGTTATACTGAATTTTAATTTATAATCGAGAAATTTTATGAAAAGTTAAATAAATACATAAATGAATGTTTCCAAAAAATTAGAACCGGAGTTCAAATAAGTCGCAATGGATTACATCTGAGTTGATGAGTTTGAAGAACTCGAAAAATAAGCTTAAAATTTAAAAAATCGGGATCTGGCTCTGACTACGCTAATTATTCTGTTTCAAGGTCTAAAATTCAAAAACAAGATAATGTTAATGATACAGAAATCGATCAGTGCTTTCCAAATTTCTTTTGGTCATATATGACCATATGACTTATTTCAACTTGATCAAGTAAATAGTCCATATTTCGTTTATAAAAAAATAAAATTTTATTATACCATATTAGCTATTCCAATAAAATATTGTTTAATAATTCTTTACAATTTTTACTCTCCCCAAAAATATTAGTTCAATTTCGATAGTGAATGAGAAAGTTTCTAATTTTTTCTAATTTCCTTTTGATTCACATATATCTATAAAAAATTATTGATTTTTGGCGGGCCACTTATTAATAATTTTTATTTAAACCATTATCTCAATACCTTAAATATGTTTGTAGTTATTTTGATATATTTAGGTATTGCAATATACCACGGCTAATAGGCTCCTCAAAAAATATTCTATAAAAATCCACGTCTCGAAGGCTCTTCAGAAAATATTTTTTTAAAAAATCCACGTAACGAAGGCTCTTCAGAAAATATTTTTTAAAAAATCCACGTATCAAAGGCTCTTCAGAAAATATTTTTTTTTAAAAATCCACGTAACGAAGGCTCTTCAGAAAATATTTTTTAAAAAATCCACGTATCAAAGGCTCTTCAGAAAATATTTTTTAAAAAATCCACGTATCGAAGGCTTTTTAAGAAATATTCTCTAAAAAGCAACGTCTTGTAGGCTCTTCAAAAAATATTCTATAATAAGAAATAGGTAAAAAACTTTTTAAGTTAAAAGGTTTTACGTGAAATATACATTGCAATGTTTGAGATAAATGTACTAAAAACCAAAAAATAATAGACTTGACTAAAATAAAACCGAGGGGCACTTCAATTGCATATGCATATTATAGAGAATTGACGTGCCCCACGGTTTTATTTTAGTCAAGTCTATTACTTTTTGGTTTTCAGTACATTTATCTCAAACATTGCAATGTATATTTAACATAAAACCTTTTAACTTAAAAAGTTTTTACCTATATTTTATTTTATAGTTTTTAGTTTTTATTTCGCATTCTGTTTAATTCATATTTTATATTTTTGTACCATTTTGTTCCCACGAGTAATGGACATTTAAACGGTTGACAATTTTAGCCACCCTAACGCCACACAATCCTTAACACGATACAAAATCTTGACTTGGGGGGTGGAATCAGGCTGGATTAATCAGATACCAGAATTTCAGATGCAATTTCTAAATTTAAATGTTATTATACGCCATTTAGTGGCTGCGCCATCTTAAACATTGAACTTGTATAGTATAATGTATTCTTCTTGTCATGCCCTTTTATTTAATACCCATATTGGTGGAATAGATAAAAAATTGTTATCAGCCATTTGGTAGCGGCCGCCATCATGGATTTCAATTTTTATAGTATATTGTATTCTGCTTGTTGAACCCTTTCATTTGATACCCATATTGATGGGATTGATAAAATGATATAAATATTCTTTAAAAATCAACGTCTTGTAGTCTCTTCAAAAAATATTCTATAAAACTCCACCTCTAGAAGGTGTTGTTTGTTGAGATGACAATCGTTTATTGAAAGAAAGAATGCGCTTTTACAATATTCATACTAAATACATGAATGCAAATAAAAGTACTTTATACAGGGATGTTAAACGAACAGTGATGGTACATATTAATTCATACTACGTTTACACATCCAATAAATTGACACCCCTTCTCAATATTTTCAACATTGCAAAGTAATAAATTTATATACACAAACAAATAACTTAAAATTCGTTTCATTAATTACTTAAACTCATTAAATTCCGTAAATTACATATCTTATGCTTTTGTAATGGCTTTGTGAGAACATCCGCAAGCATCAACTCCGTTGGACAATATTCATATACAACAGCTCCTGACTGACACAAGTCTCGCACAAAATAATACTTCCCGTCGATACTTCTCGGATTAACCTTCTCGTCTTGGAGTATTTTCAAGCAGCTTTGATTATCCTCAAAAACTTTCGGGGTTGGAATATCTACCTTAAATTCCTTCATAATTTGAATCAACCACAAAAGTTCTTGAGATGCTTCCGCAAGAGCGACATACTCAGCCTCCATTGAAGACAACGTAACATTTGATTGCTTTCGACTAGCATAAGATACAACAGCATCACCAAGTTTAAAAATATATCCGCTTGTGGATTTACGCCCGTTGACTTCTCCTGCCCAATCGGCATCAGCATAACCCGTAAGAATCAAATCACTTTTGGAGCCTACACACATTTTCATACTTTTTGTTCCTTTCAAGTATCGTAGGACTCTTTTCACTTCTATCCAGTCCACATCCGTAGGACAACTTACTTTTCTAGATAGAACAGACACAGCAAAGGAAATATCTGGACGAGTATTATTTGAAATATACAGCAACGAACCAATAGCTTTTCTATATAAGTTATTATTTTCAAATAAAACTCCATTTCCATTTTTTAAATAACCGGGATCCATTGAGATTGAAGAAGTTTTTGCATTTTCCAGACCAAACTCCTTGATCAATTTCTCTATGTAACGGTCTTGAGATAGATAATAAACATTATCCTCCAAATTTACTTCGATTCCCAAATAAAGCTTTAAATCGCCCATCTCTGTTATTTCAAAGTTCGACTTCAAAATTTTCACAACTTTTGCAAACTCGACATCATTCTTGGTTGCCACAATAATATTATCCACGTATATCAAAACATATATTATTGAATTTCCATCACCCTTCACGTACAAGCAAGGCTCGGCTTTTCCCCTTCTGAATCCAGAATCAATTAAAATTTTATTGATACGAAGATTCCAACAGCGAGCCGACTGCTTTAGTCCATACAAGCTACGTTTCAATTTACATACAAGGTGTTCATTTCCAGGTTCAGCAAAACCTTTAGGTTGATCTACATAAATTTCAGCATCCAACTCACCGTACAAAACGGCAGTTTTGATATCGATATGTTTTACCTTCATATCATGGTAACTTGCGATTGCCAATAAACTGCGAATGGTTGACTGTTTTACGAAAGGTGCAAAAATTTCGTCATAATTTTCGCCATACTTTTGAGGAAATCCCTTTGCAACAAATCTCGTTTTATATTTTCTCTCTTCGTCAGCAGTCTCCTTCAGTTTAAACACCCACTTACTGCCAACTGTTTTCTGGCCTTTGGGAAGCTCCACCAAGTCCCATGTTTCATTTTTATTCAGAGCATTTATTTCCGATTTCATGGCTTTCAGCCACAACTCTCTATCCGGTCTATGCATAGCTTCTTCATATGTTACTGGGTCATCCAAAAAACAAATTTTATAACCATACTTCTTTGCAGGTATGCCCTTATTTACTCTTGAAGAAACTCTAAGTCCATCCATACTGCCATTCTGTGGTATTTCCACAACACATTCCACGTTTGATGAGGTATCTGAATCATCAAAACCACAAAAATTTTCCTCATCTGATATCACAGACGAAACTTCATTTACATCCGTTAAAGGAAAGTACACCATATTATCATCAACTTTTTCGCTTCCAGCAGAAAAACTATGTTCCAAAAATTGTACATCTCTGTTAACAACGATTTTGTTTGTCTTCACATCCAGTAAACGATATGCCTTTGAGTTTTCACAATATCCGACCAAGTGATATTTTTCTGCAACATTATCCAATTTCTGACGTTTCTGTTTAT